GGCTCGCACCAGCGGATGTGCTGAATCTGATGCATGCGTTGTTGTTGGAATCGCTTCAGATATCCTTGCATAGTCTTCACGTTTCGCTACGTACAGGAAAATCGCCAATACTGATTTGTATACCATAACCTCTGTCCAAATATCAATGATTTTCAGGCTCGATTTTCTAGCTTACTGGAAGCAGCATTTCGATACGCGAATGCGCAGCTTACACACCAACCTCCAATTTGCTGACAGCGTGCTCCCTAGGTAGCTTAGTTTTGACGGGCTATGCTAGATTACATCAGTTATCATGATTCGCGGGCTACACGTCGATTCCATTCCTGATGATGGCTGAAAAGGATGTAGTTTTACCTGTGTAAACAGTGATTTAGAACTTACCCACCGTCGAAGGGGGAGCGATCGTCACACGTTGATAGCTATGCGCAAACAACACACAGCCATTGCAAACAACAATATGCGTATGATTGTCTCACGCTCTCGGGTTGTTACCCCGAAACGATGAATGTTTAGCTAACCGCCATCGATGCAGTGCTCGAGATGCGGACCGTAGTCACATACATTGTATGTGTTGGATATCGTGACTGATACTTATTGGATATAATAAAGGCTAGGGCACTGCGTGTTGCTTCATACCAGAGACAACATCAGTCATCTGAGGTCTGTTTGCACAGCTGCATCTTCGCCTGTATACCTGTGGAGGCATTCCATTAGACAGTTTTATTTACCACTAGTTCAGGGGCCTGACTTGTAATTCAGAGGTCACCGATTCACGGTTGCGTTGGGGCGGAAGGCCTCATAGTATCCCTGGTTTGCATATGACTGACAGTTGTCACGTGACGATGTGCTGCTGGTCACATCCAAACTTACCCAGCAATAGTCACAGCATCCCATGCTTTACCTCATCTAACACCTTGGTGATGTCAGTTAGTTCAGCGCCGAGTTCAGTAGCCGGTTGTTCTCCTCACTTCTCTTTTTGAAAAGCTTTGATCTCTATGCCTCGTTGGTAATCGCGGTGTTATTAGCAAATCAATGAAGCCGTTTAGAATTTGTGCTTGACTGGCTCCTCAGAAGCTGTGGTAAGCCATCCCTTCAATTGGTACCATATACCACTGACAGAAACAGTGAAGCCGATAACACCAAGACGTGTCATCTCATCTCCGGTTCACACCTTTTATCAAGATGTCCTTCTCTGATCTACAGCAGAATAGCAATGTAGGCAATTTTGTGTTGATTGACTTACTCAGTTTTCCGCAGTGAAAACGTCCTGTACACTTCACGCATCGCGCTGGCATGCTATGGAAGTTGGGCTGACTAGCGCTACCACTTCTGATACATTCAGGTTGAGTAAAACCACTGACACCCAGGGGGAACTGCATGTTGGTGGCCTTAAGGCCATGAGTGGCACACAGTGAAGGCAAGCGGATATTGTTCCCATTGGTTGGAATTCCGTCAGACAGGTCAATTATTTCCCCCCACTCGATGCTGTCACAAACTACACGGGGTTTGCAGTCAGCAAAAATGGTCGGTCGCTCCTCAGTCTAGACCTTGTTACATAGGACACCTGATAATGACACTGGGTTTCCGTATCATCGGAATGTAGCATGGTGGAATTCCACCTGCTGACGGAATTTGCAGATGCTTTTCGTCGGAGGTGCAGGTGAAGCGGCATTCAAGCGACTACACCTTCCGCTGGTCATTCAAGTGATGGGATACTGCAAAGCTGACGCCTTGTCTATCTGGTGCCGCAGTGGCGTTCCAAAATCCGTAGGTGTGACCAAAATCCTCTTGCATTATGTCTATACGTAGACTTTTGCAAATTTGTATACATCCTTGTGCACATTAATTGAAACAAACTACGATTGTCTCTTTTTCTATGAATATCATGTTTTTATACATGAAAGCTGCCCTTTTGGCATTTATTTTTTATTTTATTTTGGGAATAGATATTTCATTATTGTTTGTGAATCAGACGATGTAATAACTGCGCATGTCTAGTCGTTATATCACCCAAAATTGCGTCATACTTTTTATGGTTAGTAAGGTTTTTGTTTCAACTTCTTGTTTTTTGTGATTCAGTCATTGTTTGAGATAGACGTGACTCCCAGAAGGCGCATGAAGATCGTGACCTTGCACGAACACACAGACAAGACCTACAGGGACATAGCAAGAATAGTAGGCGTCAGTCCGGCAACCGTCAGCCGTGTGGTCAAAAAGAAAAAGGAAACGGAAGGGAAATGTGGTCCTAAGAGAAAATCCACTGCCAGGAATGACGCTTACCTAATACGGGAAAGTGTTAAAGATCCTCGAGAGACTAGTGACGCATTAAAACGTGATTTGGGGGAGAAAGGAATAGAAATCAGTTCTTCAACGGGATCTGGCCCCGTGCTACACATCAAAAGTGGTCAAGACTTTTTTCAATACTAATCAAATAACCATCTTTGACTGGCCTGGGAATTCACCAGATTAAAACCCCATTGAAAATATGTGGTCTATTTGCAAGCAAAGCCTTTGTGGCATGGACTGTACGACAAAGGCGAAACTTATTCAATCTTTAATTCAAGTTTTGTACAGGGACCCAAGATGTTGAAATACGCCAGATCTGTCAGGAAATGTCTTTTTTAGTTCTGGAACAGCTCTTCTTTGGAGAACTTCTATATATTGTGGAGAGCGCATCATGCCCTGGACCGGATGCAAGGCGCCGACGCCGTAATAACTAAAGCACCCCCAAAACATCTGCTTTTGTGGGTGTTTCATAAAGTGGTCAATGTGGGAATCACGAACCTTTTCTCCCTCTGACCTCCGAACATGCTGACTTCTCTGACCATGAACATAGAAATGGCTTTCATCGCTGAATAGGACTTTTCTCCAATCTTCTTTGTCTAGTTTTTGTATTTTAGTCCCCATTCGTAACGCTTAACTTTCATTACTTTTGTCAGAAGTTGTTTTTTCACAGGCCGTCTGGATTTCCGACCAACTTCCAGGAGTCGCCTGCGAACCGTTGAAGAACTGATTTCTATTCCTTTCTCCCCCAAATCACGTTTTAATGCGTCACTAGTCTCTCGGGGATCTTTAACACTTTCCCCTATTGTTATGGTTTCGGCTGACCTACCGATGACCTGCTGCCAGCGTGCACTCTGATCAGCCCGACTTCCCAAAGCAGGAGACCGGCGTACGGCTGGCAAGTATATTTTTTTAACGTCCAACTAACGGTACATTCAATTTATGGCCAAATCAATAGCCCTCAGCGTAAAACGCTCTCATTGGCTGGTTCCGTCCCATTAACACCTGTTAGGTAATCGTCATTCCTGGCAGTGGTTTTTCTCTTAGGACCACATTTCCCTTTGCGTTTTGGCGAAATGCATCCCGTTTCCTTTTTCTTTTTGACCACACGGCTGACGGTTGCCGGACTGACGCCTACTATTCTTGCTATGTCCCTGTAGGTCTTGTCTGTGTGTTCGTGCAAGGTCACGATCTTCATGCGCTTTCTGGGAGTCACGTCCATCTCAAACAATGACTGAATCACAAAAACAAGAAGTTGAAACAAAAACCTTACTAACCATAAAAAGTATGACGCAATTTTGGGTGATATAACGACTAGACATGCGCAGTTATTACATCGTCTGATTCACAAACAATAATGAAATGTCTATTCCCAAAATAAAATAAAAAATAAATGCCAAAAGGGCAGCTTTCATGTATAAAAACATGATATTCATAGAAAAAGAGACAATCGTAGTTTGTTTCAATTAATGTGCAAAAGGATGTATATACTTGCCTCGGTCGTCTGTCCGAGTCTTGTTGATTATCTGAACTTGAATGCTATACCAAGCTAGCCCTATTGCAACCAGTGGTGCGTTTACACTAAACGTTAACTTGTTCCAGTATTGTGCACACATTCAAGCTTCCAACCTCTAACGCTTTACGCTGCAACATACACTGGAAGCTAGCAACCGATGAAGTGGGTGAGTTGTTGAGTAGTTGGCTTGGCAAGCTAGATCGAATTGGGATTGAGTTCCAATAATGTGAAGTCAGTGACCAGGGGCGTTTGTGGTGTCAACGTCGCTTTCGGCAATCATACGGGGTTCTGCTCTGATTGATTTCGGTGATCGGCAACTTGTATACGATTTGACTGATGCTTAGTCTGTGTTACCGAGAGGTGATTGAATGCAAGTCGAGTGACTGCGGTCCGCAAGCAGTAACACATAGTTCGGTCTTGTTCGAATGACCAAACTTTGACTTATCCATACTAACTTGCGATATGAATCATCCCTTGGAGCCAGAATGCTATTTCGTAGGCCGTTTCCGATGGTGAAAAGCGCTTTCTTCGATCATGCGCCAACGATCTCTATTTGTGCAGCTTTCTGATGCAAGTGTTCTCCAGCAGTTGTATGGCGCTTACCGAACGATGCGTGACTCCTTTGCTGCTCTCCTTCTCTATGAACCTTGAGTTACACAGCGACGCAACAGCTGTGTTTCTCACGCTTCACTGATGTGTGTAGCATAAGATGATGATGAATTGAACTTTCCTTTCTCCGCCCTATAGCCTTAAGGATCACAAGCCTGCCTTATAATCCGTGAACGCGAGCGCGAGCCTGCTTGGTGCATCGGGCTACCCTTGCAGTACTCTTAGCCTACGTGCGCCTGATGCTAATTGCGCAGCCGTGATGCCTCGGTACTGCGTACCGTCATACTGCTGATGCCTTTCTCCGGTATGTTACCATCCGTTTTTAGTATTTTGCCGATTTCGTTTATCTGTCTGATCAACGAATTTCATTCGTTGATGAACTCGTTCAACATGAGTCGCTTGTTTACTTACCGTTTGCCTGATGACCATCACTAGTCGGGTGGTAGTGGTCCGCATTACCCAATTCTATCATTGCCATTTTCCTTGCCTTCGTTACAGCTTTCTTTTGTCTCCGCAAGTTTAGCTTCTCGTTATCAATTTGTATCAACTTTGCTTTTATTACACAGATGTGGCCCCGTTCATCGCAAACTTGATGGACACAATCGTTTATCCTGCTCGTCCGCGCCCCTTCGACTTGAACCTACTGTTAAACATTAGGCGGCACTCCAGTAATGAACCGACAATCCCCATTGAGTCCGAACCGATATTAGAGGACACGCCGGATGCACTGAATGAAGATGTGGACGTAGACTATTCCGTGCATCCTCCAGACGTGGGTACAAATATTCTAGTGAACGAGTGCGGATCGGAAGTGGCTTTTGGTGATGACATTCTGTCCAAGCAGAAGCGCGTTGTGTGCTCTTTCTCATCAAATAGGTACGTTCAGTGATGGTGAATGTTTAGTTTGTTCTGTTTAGCCCTGATGATCCGGACGAATATCCTTTCGATGCGGTGACCTACGGCGAATCCCCCAACTGCCTCGGGCTCCCATACAATGTAAGTTGGTTTTTTCATCTTATATTCTGATATCATTCAGGATCACAGCTACATCAAAAATGAAGCACCTTCTACCGTTCACCTGGACGAAAATCGGTTATCACTGTTGGCCAAGTTGGCTTTGGCAAAGGATAGTAAACAGGTCAACGGGTCTGACGTGTTTAACCGCAGGCCGCAGGGGCAGACTGGGTTGGGGCTGATTATGTCCAGTGATGGGCTGACCTCATCAACTGTGGGTCGAAAGCAGTCCTCAATCGATGCCTTTCACGGAGCCACAACCCAAGCTATACCGGTAAACGCGGTGCCCATGGCCGCTGTCGTTAACAACGCGGTTGCTCGGACTACAACCCCTCATCCTTCTGTGATCACAACAAACTCTCGCCTTTCTGTCGTTGGTGGTCGGGCGTTTGTACTGTCACCTGCACAAGGTGGCACTCCTGGTCCCCCTCTGCAAGTGCATCGCGTTAGCTCCTCTCTAACGCCCCACATTGTCCTACGCACCGGGATTCCCGCACTCCAGATTAGTACGACCGCCACCCGTGCTTCGATTTCTGCACCGGTTGCGGAACAATGCACCACGACTGTGCGGTGTATTTGTTGCCTAACCCACACCGACGGACCCATGGTTCAATGTGAGCATTGCAGGTGAGTTGTCCATCCTCTATGACCTTCGGTCTGCTGCACTCTGTAGTCCTCCAGTTAGCCGGATAGTGTATTGTCAATTTATTTTGTCTCCAGAACTTGGCAGCATTCGAAATGCATCTCTCCATCCAACGGAACGCGGGTCCCATCGCCCCACATATGTCCGCAATGCCAGCTACGGCTATGTACAACCACGACTTCTGCGACCATCCAGCGACATAAGTTTCTTACCGTTCCCGCTACTTCAAACTCAAATATTCATACATCCCGCGCAAGCGAATTTGACTGTTTAAACAATTCAGGTCACCTTGTGCTTACATCTACACCTGGAAACTCCGCGACCCGTCAGTTGCATGTGTGTCATCTCCCCAGTTCTGCTGTTAAGAACATCCTGACACCTGGCCAGAGGAACCAAGCCGATTTCGCCACTCTCCGTACCACATGTGAGATTGAGTCTGGTGGCCCTCGCTATTTCAACCTTGTCACCCACTCCCCTTCTATTGCGGCTGCACACCACAATCAGTCTGTGCGCAGTTCGAAACGGAAGCAGGATCTAGTGACCCGTAAGTTGTCTCTGTCACACCCCATCGGGGATCCAATGTGGATCGCACTCGTTTGATTAGCACTTTCGCATGGCTTGCAAGCGCCTCATACTAAGTGATTGTATTGGTTTATTTAATTCACAGAAGCTACTCCGTGCCAACTTTAGCAATGCACTTGCTGTCATGGTTTTTTTCTCAACGACGTCACTAATAATGGTTTCCACCCGAATCATATCACAATTTTTCGTTTGCTTTTCTTCCAACTTAAATGTGGCTTAAAAACCAGTTTTTCAGTAGTACCTTAGCTTTGAATTGGTCCTGAGAGGATCTGTGGTGTAATAGGCGGCCAAAGTTCTATGGCATGCAACATGCGCACGCCCTGGTTTCTAGCTGTTCCTTATGTCGGGACGCTGGGGCCATAGTATCCCAGACCGCACACAGCAATTTTCGGTTACATTGTACCGACGCATCCGTACGAGCACCACTGTTAGCACTCGTCACGAATACAATATTTCCATTAGGCTACTTAGAAGCTGCTCCTATCCTAACCTTTCGGCTCTTCCTTGAAAGCAGTCGACGAGTTCATTTACCTTGAGAGTTACATTAGCGTGAGCCGATTAACGAATGAAATGGATTTGCATATCTCCAAAATCAGAGTAGCCTTTGCCAACCTCCGAGATCTCTACCGCTGACATGATCCAAGCCTTTCACAACTCTACGGTAAGAACAGTGCCACTTGTAGTTGCTAGACCTGGCCATTTCATGCGAACGATGTCCAGAGACTTTGTGTTTGACTATCGTTGCTTCCGGAGCAGCGCCGGTGTACCTTAGCGGCATCGCATTAGTAATGATGACGTTCGACGTCGGATTTTCAAGTCAGACAGACTCAGCTTTGGGCACTCAAACGCAGCTTCAACACTCTCCAAAAATTGCCACTCGCCTCTTCGTTTCAATACTACGACCAATGCTAGAGTACGATTTACCCGCATACTGCCCTTTCACCCGGCTTGAGGTAGAAAGGATTGAGCGGGTACAGCAAGAGCTAGTTCATTATGTAGCTGCATCTAATATCACTCAGGTACAAAGACCCGTTATGTTGGATGGAGCTCGATATATATTTATATCGGCAAAGTGCTTGTCCGACATCGACTTTGTCTCAACTCTATTTGCTGTGGCAGGTTGTTCCATACATTCGCCACTCTCCGGTACGACAAGCTTGTACCGGTGTCCTCGTGTGCTGTTTAGTATGCGCAGATGAAGCAGCGATCTCAACATGGGGTAATCACCCAGATGTGATATCCGGTGCGTCATGATGAGGTCAACCTGCAGTCGACGATAAGCTAGGGTGCAAAGCCCTGGTTTCTTCCACCGGTCTTCATACAACACACCTCGTAAATTGGGGATCAGCCTGGTGGCTACACGTGGGTTGCGGGTTAATCTCATCATGACGCACCGGTTTCTACATCTCGGTGATTACCCCGTGTTGAGACCGCTGCTTCATCTGCACACACTAAGCAGCACATGAGGATACCGGTACAACCTTGTCGTACCGGAGAGTATGGAACAACCTGTCGCAGCACGTAGAGTTGAGACAAAGTCGGTGTCGGAATTCGAGCAATTCCTGGACAAGCACTTTGCCGATATAAATATATATCGAGCTCCCTCCAACATAACGGGTCTTTGTACTTGAATGATATTGGATGCAGCTACACAATGAAATATCTCTTGCTGCTTCCAACCAGTAATCAGTCAACCGATGAACCGCATTATTTCCTTGCGTGTGCACGCGTAGCTCTGGCACGTTCTCCGTATGACCGGTTCAACAATTGCCCGGGTTGCGCTTTGTTTGCATATATCGGCATTGAGTTGAAGCGACGGAAAAGTTTCCAACCCAGCTAACTGGGTCCAGGGTATCAAGGCGGCTGACATTGCAGTTGGCCACAGTGGGGCGTTTCAGACTCCCAAGTTCGAGACCCAAAGATGGTGATCACCACCTTGTTGGAAACTCTATCAAATTTTTCCCGGAATCGTACCCTGGTGGCTAACTTGTTGCCATACTTATGAGTGGAAGGATTTTTGTGAGTATTTTTGTTCGTCGCAATCAGCCGACAATTCAGATAAGTCAACTAGCTATCCGGAAAAGCACCAGACGGTCGTTTCGCCCTATTGGGGTTCATCAGGGGTGCGTATCCTTCGGTCCTCTGCGGAGGATCGAACCCATGACTGCTAGTGGCTCTTGTCAACTAGCCCACAGCTTATGCAACTGCGCCATGGAGGACGGTATCCGACCATCACGAATTGTTAGCTAAATACGATACAGCCCGACCCATCCTCCATTGCCATGCAGGCACCTGCCATGCAGATGACAGCGGTTGGCCTTCCGGCGTCAGGACTTCCCGGTTGCGGCAGCTATAAATCGACATAGCATGTTGTGGAATCCGTAAGGGCGATTTTGTATTACTTATGAGTGGAAGGATTTTGTTGAGTATTTTTGTTCGTCGCAATCAGCCGACAATTCAGATAAGTCAACTAGCTATCCGGAAAAGCACCAGACGGCCGTTTCGCCCTTTTACAGAGGACCGAAGGATACGCACCACTGATGAGCTCCAATAGGGCGAAACGGCCATCTGGTGCTTTTCCGGATAGATTGTTGCCATACTGTCCTCCGCTGACTACCTTTTCTTCCCTCTTTTCTTGCTGTTACTAATTGCTTATTGGTCAAGTGGTGAATATGTATTGTTATACTCTTTTCTTGTCAATCGGCTTTACATAAATACACTCTGACATTGCAACAGTATCTGCCTAGATGCGCAGTAGTGACGCCACTTCTACGTCGCAGTTGTTCTTTTGCTCACACCTTACAACCTGCAGCACAACCCCCCCCCCCCTAAGGACTGATCTATCATATTCGATGCCCATTCAACCTATTTTTAACCTCAGGGGTAAAGTGTATTTCGATGCTGTTCCACATGGAACGAGCTGCAGTGCTTCATTTTCGTACGATTGTGTTCGCTGTTTTTTTTGTCACCTAGATCCCCACCACTTTATCTACACACATTGAATATAATGCTTTTCCAAACTGGCAACCTCGTTCGTTTACAGCGTAGTGCTTATCATCTAGAGTTGACGAGGGTTTTTTCGATCGAAACATCCGACCACCGATCCACCGGCCGATTCAGGTCTCCGGTTCCTCCAATCCTTTTTTAGCTGTGAACCACCTCACAGTATCCCCCTCGCTCGCACGCGACTAGTGGTGGTGGTTGCGTGTTAGACACGGTGGACCCCTCGCAAGGCAGCGGGGCGATTAGCAAGACCGTTGACAGCCAGGTGGCTCTTTCGCCTTTGTGGTTGGTTGCAGTTCACGGAGAAGCCGGTGGCCAGCAAGGTTGTTCATGCGTCCTCCGTTAGACACACACATTCAGTTACAGAAGTTTGGTCGGTTACCCCATAGCCTATCACATTGGCTTTAACACAGCGCCGTACGAGCACTTGTGGTATTTGATGGAGAACCCGGTGACCAACCCAGAACTCCCCACTCTCTGATATGCTACCACTGATTGTCCGCGACTGCTTCTTCATCTCGCCTGCAAGCAAACTAAACTTATTCACAGTCACATACACAAGAAAGGCATTCCCCAATCTGCAACCTGGGGACGCGCCCGATAGCCCACATCCCCGCCACATGGCGTCCCCCTATACCTGTCCATTGATGTACCCAAATAGTAAAAATGTTACCATAGGTTACAGGTGGCGCGCGGTTCTATCCTGACTTGTCGCCCATTCTGGAATACTTGCGTCGACTCTGAACATGCCTTGGTACACTGTCATTTTTCCAGGCGCTTATCTTAATTGGTGAGTGGGAAGCTGCCTCAGTCCTGGTCTGGCAAGCCTACCAGGGTGTCTTATTAATCGTCCTTTTCTAGCCCTTTCATCTACATGACATTGAGCTTCACTGGACTGAGATCTCGGCTGCCATGCACGCCAGGGGAACCTTTGCTTGCGATGCTATCAAGCATCAGGACATCAGTCCCTGAATATCCGAGAGATCGGTGAATCTATTGGAATCCAGAAGAAAACTTCCGGCTGGCTCTGAGCACAATGTGACTAGGCGGACTACTAAGCGCGAACTAAAGCGGAGCATGTGCTCTTACAAGGAATCCGAATGGACCAGTCGGGCTCAAAAAGTGGAGGAGGCAGTTGCAGTAGGCAAGTATCGCAAGCTCTTCCAGCTGATCCGGAAACCAGGCCTCCGTAAGACGGTCAGAAATTGTGCACGCGCTCTAATGAACAATATGGAGCGCCGTATGACTCGTTGTACGGAGCAATTTTAACTGGCCTGCTGCTCCTGGACCCCGTCTTACTCAGGTGGTGCATGCTGAAGTCCGAAATACGGTCACAGCCATTCATCATTTTTGATCTGCAGGCCCGGATTCCCCAACAACCGCGCAACACGAAAATGGTGGTCTGCTCCTCTATAAAGCACTGGTTTCCTTGTTCAAGCAGGTCTAGGAAGGAGAGCTCATCCAAACTAACTGAAGATCGATTATAGTGGGAATTTTGCAGAAAGCACAGCCGCACCGACTGCTAACCACGAGGGTATTGGCCATATTACGCTAGTGGTGCAAAAATCACTGGCTTCAATTCTCGTCCTTCGCCTCACTACGGATCGAGAATCACGGACTAGGGAAGAGCAAGCATTCTTCCGCCCAGGACTTGGCTATATAGACCACACATTCACACTGCGACAGGTGCTAGAGCAGTGCCACGCATACCGTAGGCCGGAAATAGCTGTGCTCATCAACTTCCAGAATGCGTTGACTCAGTCGTTCGATCCATTCTCCTTAAGGTACCTTTGCGGAAACATGTCCCCATAAAATATGTGAACATGTTGCGTACTCGAACACAAGGCGCGTCAGGATCTACGGTGGTTTTTTGGATGTCTTTCTGACAATTGGCCCATTTTTGTTCAACTTCGTCTTGGACTCAATCATGAAGTGTTTACTTGCGAAGCCTCACGATCCAGGCGTTGAGATACAGTCCGGTGAAATGCCAATTGATCTTCGGACGATATTGTCTTGCTGTTTAATGATGTTAGGGTGACCCATTCAAATCTGAATGACCTCTCCAGACTGGTCCCATCATTTGACATGTGCTTCGCACCATCAAAGTTGTTGCAAGACCACCAACCACCTGATGACCGCACGACTATTGATAGTTAGTTGATCATTTCACCTACTTTGGCTGATACATCAGCAACAATGGGTGCATCAGCATTGGAGTCGGTTTCCCCGTATTGCAAAATCCAGCACCGCCTTCTTGACATCTGTGGCATCATAAAGGGATTTCTCTCGATCTGAACGGCTGTGTTTACATGAACACAGTGACTGCCGTCCTGCTCTGTAGGACTGAGACTTGGCCCCATCGATCTGAGGACGTGCGTCGCCTTCAAGTCTTTGATCATTGTTGGCTGCGAAGCATTGATAGTGTCGGATGACACCAGCGTATCTGCAGCGACAACGTGCGTTGCCGAGTGCTAGGCAATAATAACCAAGCTAGTTCCTTAGAACAACAGATAGCATTGAATAATTTGCCCTGGCTTGGGTACGTACTACTTGTGCTCGGCCAGCGCTTACCGAGGAGTGCCTTTTTGTTTGCCAGACGTAGGGTAGCACAAAGCCCCATGTCAACGAAACTTCACTTGGCAACGAGAATTGAAGTCAGTTACGACGCGACACGGTGCCGTTGGTCCGTTTCGCCTTCGGAGCTGGAGTCCACGTGACCAGCTTCGTGCTTGACTTGAGACGTTCCAAAACGTGTCTCGCAGTCCGCACTGCTTGTGTGCCTGCTGTCGTCTCGTGGTCGGACTACTTGTTTAAAGCGTGCTTGGTGTTGAGTTATCTACGAGGTAATGGCTGATTATGACACTGGGCAGTGAAAGCCGCAAGGAAGCTGTCTGGCGGATTCCGCCTTACCTTTCCTTGATAGCCAGCTGTTTGTGTCGATATGCTGTTGACACGAAGTGTAGGCGCCTTGATCCGGAACGTCGTTTGCCCTGTGTATTAAGGTTTTACATTTGGTACCTCTACTTTCCCTCTTATTAATCTTAATTCCTTGGGGCATTTGTTGTATGGTATCGCAGCCTCAGTTCAAATGGCTGATGTACGACTGTTGCTGCTGCTGATGGTGATGCTGGCGGTCGCGTTGCAGCGAAATGTCAGTTTGACATTCCAGCTCAATGCTGATGTGCTTTTTGCAACTCAACTAAGATATTTCTCGGGCTGTCGTTTTTCCCTCTTAATGCGAATCACGGTTGTTAGATGGCATCGTTTTTTTTCGGCGCTAAGTCAACGCTTCTCATATAGGACTTTTCTCTGTATCTGCCGCATTCCGTTCTGCATTCCCCTAGTCTCGGGAGCCTCACATAGCATTGGATTTAATTGCGTTGCAAATTCTCCCAACGCGGACGGACTTCTGGACTTGGAATCCATCACCAATTCGACTGAGATTCAAGCGCCATCCTACATCGAAACTACCGTGAATTTGCATTCTGCAGAAGGCAATCAATCCGCTTCCACCGCTTTTCTTCCGGCAACATCCACGGTGACTCACTCGTTGCCTAGGACTGAAACTTCGCTTCATCGCCTTCTCGTGCATGACAAACCACAACACCTTGGCGGTGGTTGCTACCAGTTAGATGTCAGCGGTGGAACACATGCCCTATCCCCGTCTTCCCCGGTTTCTTTGGACTCGATACCATCATCTCCCTTTTTCGATACGTACGAAGATGCGTCCGATCTACGCTTGTCGGAGAGGTTTTTCCTAAAGTTGGAAAGCTTATTCCCATCGCCACGTTCCCCCACGGATTTCACTGAGCTGGCCGCCTATCTTAACGGAGATTCACCCCCGAAACTACCTACACTGAAAAAATGCCAGGTGGTCAATTTCGATTTCAATCGAAAGGTACGATCTAATCTTTATCTTTGTGTCTTCTCATCTTGGTCTCAAGCAACAATGTCTTCTTTTATAACCATACTCACATGCTACTGTTTTTACGTTGTCATCGTAACTTTATCCTCTCACTGGCGCGCATGCTAACATTGTGTGATCACGATGGAATCTTGCATTTCGCTCGCCCGAATTTCTTTTATGGATACAAAAGTCAACTCTGAGTGTCACTCCCGACAGGTGTCTAACAAACAAGTATTGTTATGCCAATTGGTACGGTGAATTACCGTAAACCAAGTGTTTTTGAGCTTTTTTCGCCACCCAGCGGCACATTTTGCTAAAACATGACCCCTAGACCGCCGATGTGCTCATTCCTGACAGTAGCTACATTCACTCAATCCTCTTTAGGGCGCTGCCTATTTTCAGCGGCTGTGAACCCGCTATCTTGTGTTCGCATCCTCACGCGCTTACTTTTGCCACTGTCCGCGGCTTGTTTTCTGTCGTTTCCTTAATTACATACACTTTCCAATTTATTGCTGCGTGCATCAGAAGCCAGACCGCTTGCCTTTGAAATAGTGTGTTCACATCTGACGGTAGAAGCAGGTACTTACTAATAAAATACGTCTTCCGGTTCTTGACGATAGTCCCGCTGGTGCTCATTTGGGACAGATGCTGACTGAAGCTCAACCATCTATAATGACAACGGACTATCGGTCGGTCATTGCCGTATCACGCTGCTGTAAGCCCGGTCTTACTGCATGTATCAGACACTTGGCCAGTTCGCAGTGAAAACGTCAACAGTGTGGCCGTGTTTGACCACCGGTGCTTGCGGAGTGTTGCTCATACTGGTGGGAACACCGAGTGAGCAATGTTGAGGTCCACCGGTTGGTTTTTGGTCAAAAGCCTTCTGGTGCATCCCTCGAGTATTTTCTAAAACTCAACCGCTTACATTCGCTAGGTCATGTTCTTCGAAGGCCTATAGACCGGCTGGCTTGCCGAACTACCTCCTCGTGGTGCTAGCTGTATGGTTAGCATGTACCCCGTCCCAGCGAAGTGTTCGGCGGCAGTGTTACACTTTTGTGGGACATTGTACTTCAGCAATTTGTCCTGATTTCATGGGGAGAATTGAGCCCCCGTTTGGTAACCTACGAAACAAAAGACTTATGAACTGAACATTCACTCAACGACTCCCAATGAGTCCGATTCCCTGAATTCGCCTTGCTGGCTTGCAAATAGGCTATTTAGCCAAAGGTTTGGGGTGGTGTTCCCTAGGACAACTTCCTACTTCGGCTTAGGTAACCGGGTAGTATCACGTCCACTGACAAAACCATGAGTGGTTCGCCTACTGTATCGCGCTCAGCTGCCTTAACGTCCGCTACCTGCACACCTTATTCACACGCCACTCGTTCACTCGTTAAATACTAAATACTAATCTGTCAGCTGTACTTCGTAACGGCGCTTAGCCTCCGCGCGGCTGCCACCAGTTGCGCGTGGGCTGAGTATGCCACGAGGACGCCCACTCCTACGCTGCATTCACTTCCTACCGATCACTGTTATCCGTTACCAGCTGATTTCTGTTTTCAAGATTCTACTCCCGATGGTTTCGTCGTCACCAACAGAGTTCGTCCAGTTGCCCTCCTTCAGCTTCGGTCCTCCTTCTGCCTGGCATATTTCAATGTATGTACACTCATGCAGATCGGGCTGCAGACTGGTCTTACGCGCGCCTTGGAATCTTGCTGTCGATTTTTGCTCTCTTTCCAAAGCACGCTTGCAAGACTCCAGTACTGCGTTTGAGTTGAGATCTCCCACCGACCACAGAGCCATGATTCACTTACGTCCATCTGGTGACACAGATGCAGTTGCTACAGGCTTGGCTGGCGTTGCTGTATTGCTAAGCAGGCAAGCTGAAGCCGTACTGCTAGACTGGTTTCTGATTAATAGCCGACTATGTGCAGTTCGGCTTCGGAATCCTGCAGAGTCAACAAATATCGTGAGGAGAGACGCAACTTGTTTGTGATCTCGGCTTACGCTCCTACTGACTACATTCTCAAAGACGATTTCTCCCATGAACTTCACTAGCTCTTGTGCAGAGTTTGCAAATCTGATATTGTTGTCCTTGATGGGGATCAACACACAGGTCGGTCGTCCATGGTTATGCGAAAGTCACCTCGGTGGTCACCGTGCGCTCGATGAGAGCCTCTCGGATAATAGGTATACTTATCACATTGTGTGAAGACAATCTTTTATTTCTGTCGGGCATCAGCTTTCGACATTCGTGGAGACGTTCCGCTACTTGGCGACCCCCGTCTGCGTCCCAATCTTGGTCTCAGATTGATCATATCGCAATCAGTTTCAGATTACGTGATGGTGTAAAAAATCGCAAATCAATCTGATCCACATTTCTTGAATCAGACCATGCTCTTGTTTGTGCGAACATTTGCATGAGTTCCGGAGGGTCCCGAAAACGAAGCACTGTAAGATAGATACAAGTAAACTATCTACTCTCTCGATTCAGCAGAGCTACCAAGCTTCCCTGTTCAATGCACTCAGCTGTGACCTTCCGCAAGACATTGATGAATACTGGACGTTCATGCAGAGCACCATGTTCTCTTCCGGACATTTAGTGTGTGATCTTACTCTGCACCCTACGAAGGTCTGGATCTTCACGCGCTCCTCGAGTCTATTTGTTCGCCACAGGAATATCCCAGCGGAGTCCAAACATAATGAAGTGCGCCGTTCTGTCAGTTGGCAACCCAAACGGAGTCTACGCGGTAATTGTGACGCCTGGTGGCCTCAGCGTGCTTCGGAAATGGGGGCAGCCACCCTCTCTGGTAATGCTTGCAAGCTCTTTCAGCTCATTCGATCCACTGGCCACAAAAAGCCTGGTGGCAACGAGACTATTTGCGAAGCGGATGGTTCGCCGATTGTCAACCTACAGAGACGCTTGGGTCGATGGGCCAAACATTTTCAATCCCAGTTCAATTGGCCCTCACCGTTCACTTTTCTTCCCAGCGAACCAAGCCACTCGTTAATTTGATGAGATCATACCACCGTTGCGCGAAGGCCCGGATTCAGGTCTATGGAGAAGAAAAAGGAATTCGACATCAATACTAGAGTCCAGCAATGTTGCCCACTTTCTCCAGCTTTGCGGTCGACTGGGTTGTGCATCATTCCGTGACTTCTGGCTGTCAGACCTGGAATTTGCTGACGATATCGCTATCCTTGAAGAACTACCTGTCACTACAGTCACTGCTAAATCGGATCAGCCAATCAGCATCTATGATCGGCCTCGAAATTAACATTGGCAAGACGAGGGGGGTCTCATCGTCAACCACCCAGTTCACCCCGTCGCTTTCCTTACATGGGCAACCATCGAGATTGTTCCGGAATTCAAGTACTTTGGATCCACTATTCTCCCCAGCGGTCAGGTTACATCCGAAATCCGTAATCTTGTTGTCAGTGTCATAACAGCCTTCTTAAAACTGATTAACACCTTGTGGCGAAGGACGAAAATTGGTCTGCGAACGGAAATCCGAATATTTTCAACCATTTTACTTTTTAGTTGCGAAACATGGCCGCTGCGATCCAAAGATATCTCGAAACTGGAAGTCTTTGTTTATTGGTGTCTAAGGTTCATCTTGTAAACGCAGTGGCATGAGCGTATCACGAATGACGAAGTGCGTAAGCGCTGTTACGGTCTTCCGAAGCTCTCACCGCTCGTCCAACGCCGCAGATTTCAGTGGTTCGTTCTCCTTCGGAGACCGGACACTGACTTCACTAGGATCGTGGTTTCGCCCTCTCCTTGCTAGATTTGGTGTGGTCGCCTTGGCAGACAATTGAAAGGATAGCTCACTACAGTGAAATCGGATGTCGATTTTCCGGGACTCTAGGTTGTGCATGATGCTCGTCACTGGAGAGATCATTAGATCAGTATTTGCGTGGAGCTTTCCGCTGACCGCCGTGTTTGGGCAGCGGTAATCCGCGATATTCATGAAGCAGGCTCATCCTGTCGTAGGAGCTAACCTCGGGGAACTAAAGTAAAGTAAGGGCTTTGTATGCTGATGCCTCTCTTCGCCATGGAACCAGGTCCTCTAACCCCCCCCCCCGCCAGGAATGTTGGGATTGCGGATCTATACACTTGAGCCATCACATCGCTAGCGCAGGTTAGGTTATCTAAACTCCTAACTTGTGGTGGGATGAGATAAACCCACAACAACGCTATCCATGACGGTTTGCCGTCGTTGCAACACCAAGAGCTCCACATATCCATTCTCTGCTGTTTCAAAAATTATTTTGCATGCGGTTGTTGCCCTCAGAATTTTCCCATGTGTCGCAGAATTCACCACTTTCATCTTTGTTTTCCCTGCTTCCCCGCACAGGGTCTGGTCGCTTCGGATGACCTCTGTCCTCGTGAGCCGGTGATCGAGTATCGAGGTCTTTGTATGCTCATGTCTGAATATAGCGAGTTGTACGACTATCGCAGACACTACAATCCATTCGTTTTGTTTTACAAAAATTGGTCGAAAGTGGCCCTCTGCATAGACGCTCGCAAATTTGGAAACGAAGCGCGCTTCATCCGTCGGTCGTGCACACCGAATTGTGAGGTGGGTTTCCCTTTGTTCGAACGCTTCTGCCATTTTTCCACTGGAGTTCCCGTAGGACTTGGTTCCCCTCTATATGGTGAAAAATTACGCTTTATTGTTTTACTCCGCAATGTCACTGTATCAACTTGATGTGTCTAGATCCGTCAGCGTCTCACCCTGCTGGGACACCACATGATTACAGCGGTTTTACAGTGTTTCACCACCTATTGATCGCTCTTATGCACTCTCAGTTCTTCTGGATCGCACATCGAGGGTATTACGGTAATTGCAGCTTCTTGCATCGAGTAGTGTTCACAGCGTTCGTCCAACTTGTCGCTCTGTTCGACTACGTTTTCCCGTTCAGGATGCAGTGTGTTCAGCTTTACTATAAAGACCCGAAGCGGGGCCTCCACGCTTCGAGGACATTGGGAGAGACAGGATCTTTTTGATCACTAGTGCTAACGAACTATCACCATCATCTGGCGGGGTCATCTGCTAAGCCTCGCAAAAGAGATCCCTGACACCCCAGTGAAATGTCTGTTGGACATGCATCGCATGCATTAGTTAGGCCGCGTTCTTTGGACGTAATCCGCCTGCTCATTTCGGCGTGTAAAACGGATGTGTCAGCACTCTTGATGTACTGCAGTTGCCTCTCTCATACAGGTGCAGGCGCTCGAGCCTGGGGCGTAAAGGTTGAGAGACAGATTTCTGGAAAATGTCACCACGATTCCCTTTTCGAATACTTAGTTTTGAAACGACACTTCAGTGTGGTCAGCCTGAGCTGGCGATTTGGTGTAGCGCGATTTGTCGGGCGGTATAGTCCAGCTGGTGGCTCATTCCACCTACCTCTATGGGACCCGCAGTATAAGTTGCCGTATCAGTGTTCCAGCACTAGTGAATAGTTTTGTACTCCTTTTTCTTCTCTAGACTTATATACCCAAGTATTAAATCTTCTCTATCCCTTTGCTTTGAGCACTTATCCACAAACGTTTGGTTCTTGCTCCTCATTGCTCGGATTGTTGCTCACTATTCGTCTTGTGCGCCTCATTTCGCGCCCTAAGACAAATACCTCAACCGGCTGCACTCGCACCCACGTTGAGTGTATTGACGTGTATTGCGTGACCGAACCTAGGATCGATGACCTTCCCGGGGCTGTTGTACTAACTGCGCCCGGCTTATCCTCTCACTGTTGATTACACGCAGATGCGGTAATCACTGCTCAAGCTGAGGCGGGCGTTGTTCTCAGCTTCAAAGCTGAGTCATCGTTGGTTGATTAGACTCCTGTGAGTAATCAGTTTGGCGATATCGACCAAGGTTGATTCGCGAAGTTTCACTAGACGCTGTTCTTTGTGTGCTTTCCTACTGCAGTCCTGTTCTTGTCAAGGGTACCCGTCACCAACTGAACACGCTGCTTCGCAGTGTTACCAGTTCAGATATCATTGTTTATATTAGAGAATATGAATGCGCAACTGGGTCGTCGGGCTCATCAGGTCAGCTAGATGGTGAGTACTACTATATAAGTCGTACTTTCACTCTGCAGTGGATGCTAGCGATGCATTGTACATACTGCAGGCTGATTGTAACTGTTTTACAATTTCAGATTTGCTTTTGTGTTCCTCATTAACATCCTCGTTTGCAGCGTTCAAAGTGAAGCGTCACCATTAGCCCACTCTCATTGGTTGGCCAGTAAGCTTCGGTCTACGTCATGCTCAACTGTTCCAGGCTGCTAACAAAGGGGTGTCTGCTCCCTTAGCAACTTCCCCGCGAAAATTAACACATGGCTTCCTTCTTGGCTCCAACTGCATTCTGACGACGGATCTCCGTACTCTGTCAGTCCGGCGCTGTGGTTGCATTTTCGGCTCTTCTGGAGTTTTTGTTTTAGGTGCATCCGAAACGTTCTGCCTTTTCGATGACACATCGAAACTGTCCAGTAAAACATCTAGCGGTAGCGGTCGATTGCTAGTGCTTTCTGGCACGCTAGTTAGTCGCAGCTGATTAGCATGCCTGGTGCAAGTCAAAGTACACACTCTGACCTCATAGAGCAGCCGACCAAGTCTTCTCCGAATCGACCCTATCACCCACTGCGGACTTCCCAAGCATTAGTCTCTGATCGAAACACGTCTTGGGGGAAATTGACATGCTTACTTTCTGTGTCGCTCATTGTAGTATCTTTCCATTCGAGGATCCCATTCTTGTGGATAGTGCGCCTCGGGATCAGCATTGAATTTACAGAACGGAGCTTTTTACCCATTAGTACACCTCTACTGGCAACAATTGATTTTGCGCTTGAGGGGTGGTCAAGGTTGATGTATACACTAGCAGTGCAGTATCCAGTATCTTGTGTATTTCTTTCCGCCTTCATTTTGGATAGCGATCGCTTAACTTTCGACCAAGCCTCCTGTTTGCCCATTTGACTGGGGTTGAAACGGCGATGAGCGCAAATGCGTGGTGCCATTCTTTGCGCAGAACTCAGCAAACTGGGGAGAAGTGAACTGAGAACTATTGTCAGTGACTAAGGTTTTAGATATTCCGTGCTGGCTGTACAGTCTCCTCAGAACCTTAAGTGTTTCACCGCGCGTTTTATGATCCATGCACAAGATCTCGGGCCACTTGCTGAACGTGTCGACAACCACCAGATACTGCTGACCATTCACGGGACCAGTAGGGCTCAAGAAATGGAGGAGGCAGAAGCAGTAGACAATTACCACAAGCTCTTCCAACTGCTCCGCACCACTGGTCCCAGGAAACCAGGCGTCAGTGGGCCAATCAGTGACATCGCGGGTGCACTGGTACACAATAAGGAGCGTCGTATGGCTCGTTAAGCGGAACACTCCCAACATCAGTTCAGCTGGCCCCCTGCTCTCGGACCTCTTCCTACTCAGGTGATGCAGGACGAGCCATGGACGGTTAGTTTAGAGCCTCCGTCGGAGGCAGAGGTCCGAAACGCAATCACAGCCCTTAATGGTTTTTGTGTCGCTGGCCCGGATTCCCTACCACCTGCATTATTTAAGGATGGAGATGAGATTCTCTACAAAGTACTGATCTCCCTATTCGAACGTATCTGGAAGGAAAAGAATATCCCAGTTAATGGGAGCGAATCGATTGTAGTGGCAATATACAAGAGGGATAGGCGAACAGATTGTTCTAACTACAGGGTTATTAACCTAACGCCAGTTCTGACAAAATCAGTGGCCTCGATTCTCTTTCGTCGCCTCACTGCGGAACGGGGATCTCGGATTAGGGAACAACAGGCAGATTTTCGCTCAGGACGTGGCTGTTTAGCCCATATATTCACTCTGCGGCAGGTGCTAGAGCAGCGCCACCAGGCCGACTATAGCTGTGTTCCTCGATTTCAAGAGTGCGTTCGATTCAATCCATCGATCGATTCTGTTCGGAATACTTCCGCGGAAACTTGTTCCCACGAAATATGTGCACATCCTTCGTGCTTTATACTCGAACCCTACATGCCGCGTCAGGGTCTACGTTGTCCTATCGGATAGCTTGCTCCGATGGCTCGGCCACGTGTTACGCATGCCAGCCCACCGACTTCCGCGACGTGTGTTGTTTGCGCGCCGGGGGTGTGGATGGAAGAAGAGGAGGGGTGGCCAAGCGATGACTTGGCCCAGAGGAATGAAGGCCCTCACTTCTGAGCTGGTCTCGGTTGGAGCGTCTCGGCTCCCTGGTTGGGGTCCGAAAGACGATGAACACGTTTGGTTGGACACACTTGCTGATATGGCTAGGAGCCGACCTCAGTGGCGTTCGTGCTGTGAGTTTCTTTGTCCCACCCCATCCCTCTTAGCCTCCCCCTCCAACCACGATCTCGTTATTTAGCCTTATATAATTTTTCATAATAATTTTTTTGGGTGCACAGCAGCCGGCTGGTAGCTTACCGGAACGATGCCCATTCGTTACCGGTAGCTCAGCCAACTTGCACCAGTTGCTTTTTTTCTCCTTTTTTTCCTCTGGGTATTGCGGCACAGTAGCTGAGGTGTTCCCCACCTCTAGCTAACGTGTATGATGATGATAATGATGATCGGATAGCCTTCCGACTACAAGTGGCGTTCGTCAGGGTTGTCCGATTTCCTCATTTTTCTTTAATTTCGTCGTGGATGCTATCATGGAGTGTTCCCTGGGGGAATCTCACAATGTAGGCGTTGAAGGGCTGCCTGGTATAAGGTTAGTTGATCTAGATTATGCAGACGATATCGTCTTGCTTTCCGATGATGTTGGGTCGGCACAATCGACCCTGAGTAGCCTGTCCAGAGTGGTCCCATTATTTGGTATGCACTCCGCACCTTCAAACTGCAGTGTTGCTGCAGGACCACCAGCCACTTGATGACCCCTTGACGCTTGCTAACTAGGAACTCGAGGTGGTTGATCAATTCACAGCTGCATCAGCAATGTTGAGCGCATAGAAACGGACGTCAGCTCACGCATTGCGAAGGCCAGAGCTGCTTTCTTGAACTTGCGGCATCTTTGGCGACAGAAGGGAATTTCCCTCCGTCTGAAAGGCCGTGTATACAAGGCCACGGTGAGGGCCGTTCTGCTCTATGGTAGTGAGACTTGGCCCCTTCGGTCTGAAGATCTGAGGCGCCTTCAAGTCTTTGATCATCGTTGTCTGCGAAGCATTGCTGGAGTCGGATGGCACCAGTGTGTCCACAACGATGATGTACGTAGGCGAATACTAGGTGGTGATAATCATGCTAGCTCCCTAGAACAACAGATGGCACTGAATAAGTTGCGTTGGCTCGGGCACGTGCTACGTATGCCTGGTCACCGCCTACTTAGGAGAGCCTTGTTTAGTCTGTCAGGTGTAGGATGGCGCAAGGCTCGAGGTGGACAGAAATTGATTTGGCAGCGGGAAACGAAGTCACTGGCGACCAAACTGGGTGCCTTCCGAGCTGGAGTCCACGTGACTCACCTTGTGCTTGGCTCGAGACTTTACAGGACATGGCTCGCAACCGACACCAGTGGCGCGTCTGCTGCCGTCTCCTAATCGGATTGCCTGTTTAAAGTGTGTTTGGTGCTGAGTTATCTGCGGAGTAATGGCTGATTATGAAGTGTGGCAGTGAAAGCCGCAAGGGAGCTGTCTCGCCGATGCCGCCTTATCTTTACATGATAGCCAGCTGTTTGTGACGGTATGTTGTTAACACAAGGTGTAGGCGCCTTGACCCTGAATGTTTGCTTAGGTCGTTAAGATTTTCCGGTAAGTCCCCTTTCCCTCCCTCTTATTATCCTTGATTTCATATGTCATCATTGTTGTATGGAAGTAAAGCATCAGTTGAAATGGCTGATGTACTGCTGTTGATGATGATGATCACGGGACCAAGGAAATCCGCGTGCACTCCTTTCCACGGCTTTGTGGCTATGGGCCAACAATATAGTTATAAATAAATAAACTTTTATTCTCGACAAGGCGAGGCACACCTTTACAGGCATGATCATGCTTAGCTAACATAGTGTGATCAAAAATGTACGAAAAGTACATGTTTGGCATAACAGTGTATGTAAGTGTATGAGTGTATATACGTATGTAATTTTGTATGAATGTAGCTTGTGTCTTTGAATATGCCGAAGCACTTTTGACTGTTTGTTATCCTCAGGAATGTGAGCATAAGCGATTGATGTCTGCGAGTTGGATAGCACTTTCCGGATATCCAGCGAGTATGGGTGTATACACATATGTAATTTTGTATGAATGTAGCTTGTGTCTTTGAATATGCCGGAGCATTTTTGACTGTTTGTGATCCTCAGGAATGTGAGCATAAGCGATTTATGTCTGTGGGTTGGATACCATTTTCCGGATATCCACGGGCCAGTGACTTTATTTTGTGGCGAGTCACATCCGCCACGTCGCAGTGTTGTTAAACAGACATTTGTGGCTTTTTATAGGGAGAACGCTTGCCAGGCGAAAACCCACCACGTCCTGGAACACTGCCGCGAGCCACCCAGCTGGCACCACGAGGAGGTTGTTCGTCCTAATTGGGGTGTTTTGGCTTGTTCTGAACGTTTGCTTGGATCTGGTTTGTGGGAGCATCCAGTAGGTTGAAGCGTTCAACCTAATCTAGTCCAAGGAGGTTCTAGTTCTCGTGACTAGTAACGAAACTTTTTCCCCAAACGGCGAAGTCGGCAAACAGCACTCATTCATTCTGATAAGTTATCTTCGATTTGCTGCCTGATATGCTTGTCGCTTGTTGGCCGGTCGGTTTAATGTCAGGCACACCAACAATCTTCCACAGGTTTTCCGATATGACAGTGATGTCGGATGCCGTGTCAATTTGCAAACGTGCCAATCTCCCGTTGATGCTGACAGTGACAAATTTCCTCCCATTCTTAACATCTTCGGTGAAGTTGGCGTTTACCCTCCTTGTTGACTTGCCGCGACCTTTTCCTCTGGTAATGCATAGTGGCCGGAACGGTAGTTTCGACCTGCAGTGTGTGGTCCCTTTCGTCCACGTCTATGACATTTGTGGCAATTGTGTTTACTGAAGGTGCACCATTTCACAAAACACCAACCTCTGCGTTGCCAGCAAGCCGATGGCGGTTGAGCTTGTGGACACTTCCTGTGCTCGTTTGCCGGGGTGTTACTCCTGAAAACTTGCTAGACGGTGATATCACCAGTATGCAACTTTGAATCCTCCATCACAGCTGCGTCGTGCTTTACATTCATGATCCTTTAGGCTTCAGAAACGACGTTCTGTAATGTGACATCTGGATCGCGTTCCAGCATCCTTGGGGGACTGCATACTGATATCAGCCACTGGAATTGACCTTCGGTAAGCGACTTTAGTTTAAATTTCTAACATTCACGCTTCACTATGGCTGCATGAGCAATAAGGCTTTCACTGCCTCTCTTGCAAATCTTCAAACAATGTTACCGATTATTGAATAACGACGACTGGTCTCCAAAGATTTCTGTGAGCCGAGCAGCTGTGTCATCAAAGCTGAAATCATGTGCGTTCTTTGGCAAAATGTAGTTGAGATATCTGTCATACTCGACCGTTCCTAATTTTCGTAACAGCAAACGAACTTTTGATGCATCATCGAGACTTGACAACTCTGTCCTGAAAACATCTTCACGGCACCTGAACCAGGCACCGAATATTATACCTGAATCAGGATCAAAACTGATCTCACTAACTCTGCTGATCCCTCTGTCCGCTGAAGGCTTTCCGGTCTGCTAGCAAAGGGGTGCCTACTCTTTTACACGGCGTTCCCATGAACTAATTGAGCGTTCTACGTGCACTGTGTGTCGAGAATTTTGACGGTTTGTCGGATGAACTTCCGACAGCTAGCGAAGTTCGTCAGTATTATCTTTCTTGACCTATTTCTCGACTTACTGATAGCCCCAATCTTAGTGGGTTTTCCGTCGGAATCTCACGACATGACCTTAACCATCTGCTCAAAGTAACTAATTGCTTTGAAGTTTGCAGACCCCTAACTGTTTGTCTATCACAACCAGCAAACTTAGTCTCCGATAATTTGTCTGGAATGATCCTACCCTTTAGTCTTCGCTTTGCATCCTCAAAAACACTGGGATTCTGCGGAATCATCAGCCGCGTATATATCCTCTAAGGGTTGATCAATTGGACTTTGTTGAGCAACTCCGTCATCTTGGTCTGTGTGTGTGTGTGTGGCTGCTGTGATTAGCCCACCTCTTCCCAAGCTGGGGTTGTGCGGGTTTATCAGTGCGTTTCGAATGGTATTTTTCTCAGAGCCTCGTTGGTCATGTGTTTCAGACCACAATACTTGTCGTTCTTCTTTGCGGTAAAAACTACTCGCTAGACGCCAAATCTCACGCACTGTATAATCTGTCACCGCTTGTACTAACTTACTTATCATCGCTGATGTCGAACATTAGCACCAGCGTGTCCTCATCTATAATGAGCGTAGGTGGATATGGGAGGGGGGAGAAGACACTCTGTTCACTCCGTTCGAGCAAGGTACAGGGCTACCTTCGATTGCGTCACCTTGGTGCTATGTACACCCGCTCACCGCTTATCAAAACGTTCTTAACCTTGTTTGCTCCTTGTTACGTTGCGTAAAACTCATACGAACAATCGTTGACCTGACCGTGAAGGTGGCTTGTCTCGCACTCTGTGCCTCCCCCCCCCCCACCATTGTCGCTGCAGTGTATGGTTCGCAGCCGGCAGCACTGGTGCGTACCTTGTCGTCTCCTAGCCAGTCTGCCTGCCTAAGGTTTCCGCTACTGAGTTGTCATCCGTAGTGAAAGCCGCAACGGAGCTGTCTCACGGATACTGCTTTTTCCCCACAAAATATCCGACTGTGATCATGTGTTGACAAATTGTTGGCTTGCTTAAAGTATTTCCAGTTCGCACTAGGCCCCCACTTCCTCTTTATTATTCCTCGTTCTCTAAGTGATAAGGGTTTTAAGACAGCGAAGCATCTTTTCAAATTACCATTGATGATGACGATGGTAGATCAGGATATCATGAGTTCGTGATATCTTACTTACCTTGCGGTTTATAAGAATCACAATGTCTTTCCATAGTCGTGCTTTTTATTGATATCTCATGCGTAGCTTCTGTCGTCGACATACACTACATCCCTCTCTTCGACATCAAACACTTATATCGTTCAAGTTTCATTACACACTTACTCACAAACTTTATTGTTTGCGCTTAGGTTCTCATTTCCTATGTGGATCTCGTTCTGTTTTAGGTTCGACATTTTGTAACGGTTTATCACAATCCACAGTCTGGTCCCACTCCACGGATTCGTCTAGTAATTTTCGCCACACGCCCCATCTCTCGTTCGACGGAACTGACGTTGCCGTTTGATTTCGACTACACCACTTGTCGGTACTTGGTCAAATGCGCGTGTGCACGCAAAGCATGCCCGATTGCCCGTTGGTTTCGTCAAGCCAGCGCCATGGACGGAGGCGACTCCCGAAGTCCCGCAGCTTCGCTTCTCTATTCCCGCAACCTTCCATTGACTCCCCGTGGATCTGGACCCGGGTCACGTCCTCGTGGATTTGGGACTGCGATACAAGACAACTATTCGGACATACTTGCTGATGATTGCGATCGAATGGACCATCTTGAATCACCCGGTTGGATGGATTGTCGTCTGGATGTGGAGGGCGCTCGTTCTCTGAAGTGAGTTACCACTTTGTGTTCCTTAGGTTGTACGACCGAAGCAGAATTATGATCTTTTCACTTTCGTTGCGGTATCCTGTTTTCCAGCTGCTGTTTTCTTCTGTCCTTCGTCACTAGCTGATCTTGGTATTATTAATCAATATAAACGGTTACTTCTGCAGACTCATCTTATTGGAGGATCGCATTCAAGTGGCTACGCATGTTGCCACATCATCATCACTATTCCTTCGCTCTGAGGGTGGGAGGCGCACTCCTCAGCTAATGTACCTCAATACAGGGACGATAAAAAATCTACAAATTACAGACTACAGAAAACCTTCAAAAAACCATCAATGTAATGTTAAATATTATATTATGCATTTGGTATTAGATCGTAATTGGAGGATCAATCGAACCTAAAGCAGGTGGACAAAGAAACACAACATAAACCCATTAGGGTTGGCGCTCCGCCATAGTAGCAAGTGTATCCAACCAAGCAAGGCGCCGAGCACGCTCGTAGCTCACGTGGGTTTCCACCAGCTGCGAAAGTAGCAACAGTCTGTGGACTTGATGGATCAGATTTCGCAGCTGTTCAGGAGAATTGAACGAACGGCTGCATTTTAAACTCTGCCCTATCTAACAAGGGTGATGTCACTCCGGCGACACGGGTGGCGGAAATTGACAAAAGCATTTCAAACTTTTGCTATAGGTTCGTAGCCTCATCCCGATCTTAGGGGTGTAATCTAGCTGTCCGGGTACTTGAATTCTTGAACGAATTCTAGCTGATCCCCACCAAGGGTCAGCGCAGGGTTGGGTCCTTGTCAATCTTGGAGAAGGACTTTGCATTTCGATGGAGCAAAGCATAGCCCAAAATGATTGACAGCCAGTGCTAATCGATCCAGTGTTGCTTGGCAAGTTTGGGAACTGCCACAGTTTGGGACAATGTCGTCAGCATATTTTAAGTCAAGAAGTTGTTTACTAGGAAGCAGCTCTACACCTTGTATGTCGTGTCTTGCGCACGCTGTTTCCATGACTTTAACAATGGCGAAGTTAAAGTGGAAAGGTGACAGCGGGTAGTCTTGTCTCACACCGCTGGAGATATTGAAAGGCTGCGACTGTGTGCCATAAACTCTCACCCTGCCTGAACTAAGCGCGTACAGCGTTCTGGTAATGTTTACGTATTCTCCCAATCTTTACGCCATCCGATCGGTTTACCCGCGTGATGACACCATGCCGATAGTGGGCCCCTCACATGAGTCTACCATTTTGCCTTGTTCTAGCATGCTTATTTCATCTGAGTAGCGTTAGTAGGGCGGTTTACATGGAATTCGTTTCAACACGATTTAAAATGGGTTATGTTGTTCATTCAGTGACATACATATTGATGCAGAACCTGTTTCTCACTGAAGACGTAGGAGTGGTCGTTTCTATGCACTTGTGCTTATGAATCCTCCTCTTCGCCTGCTTGAGCCACTCGGTTAGCAAAGCCGGATTCCACCAACTGGGAACTGTTAACGGATCCTTTGGCGTCACACTAGACCAGTTTCCGCATATCACAATACATCCTGTACGCATTCTTTCCTTCACTGGAAAGCTAATCTATGCGGGCTTATGGCATTCTGAAGAGGCACGAAGGAATTGAGCGTGTGGCTTTATTCGCAGTCAGTAACCGTTAGCGAGTACAACTCTTAGATCTCGTTCAAGCCCATTTTCATGGCTATATTTGCAGTAGAACTCCGGTTGACCTAAGCTGACCCGACGTCTAACATCCTCGCTGCAGATACGCTGTCGGTAGTAACATACATGAACAATCCTCTCCAGGCACCCATTGTCGATGGCCGAAAGTCTGCGCGAACTGCCGCCGACTCGCTTCCATATAGCAACCGCCTGAACGGGAGCATTGTAAACCCGTCCCCTTACAGTAAGATAGAAATCTTGAAGGTGTCACAAGTGTCTCGGGTTTACAAATGCTTTCCGAGCTTTGGCGATGCGGAGAGGAATTTCATATCAAATAGTGCCGTTAGCAGACGCGCAACTCCACAAGTAAACAAGGCCATCCACCTGTTCAAGCTGTGTCTTGGAGGAACACTGCACTTCGAGGGAGCGATGCACATACCGTACTTAGATGTCTTGACCGTCGAACGGTTCAGAATGGTTTGTATACTCTACAGGTCGTCACCTAGTGAGGCGATATCATCAGCGTAGTCTAAGTCGGCGGCCCGCTTACCTAATAAAGACTCCAGAGCTCATAACAGGTTGTCTTCAATTGCAAAATCGAAAGTGGACAAAGAATATGGAACGTCCCTGTTGTACACCGCCATTGACACCGAAGGACAAAGAAAGTTTGCTATAAATCCTCGCTCTGCCGCACCCATAGTGGTACAGTACACTTAGGATCTCAGTATACGTTTCTGGAATCCCCTTTCGTAGCAGGCAACATCATAGCGCAGGCCGGTCAACCGAGTAGGATGCAGCACGCATACCTAGGAGGGCAGCGATGGCGGGCAACTGGTCCGAAGCTAACCACTGAATACTTGAACTGTTTCCATTCTTTTGGGAGCACCCGTGGCGTAGCTACTGACCTTCATCAAAGCCGTTTGCTCCGTCATCGAACCAGCCATTTTGACTGTAATTAGCGATGTGTCTCTTACGGCAGTTGCCATCAAGACCATCGCCTAGTTTGACCATTTGTCTTTACTGGAGTGCATAGTAGCTGCAGCACGATATGTTGTTGTCGGAAAATACTTAACGGTGCTACAGCTGCCACTATTCTCATGCTTCTTGCCATTTATTTTTTCATCTGACAACTACAATTATTTTTCTTCTACCTTTCCCTGGGACTGTTATCTGTTCAAGTTTCTTCCTCGCCTTTCTCCCACTTTTACCGCCGTGGTAGCTCAAGTCGCGATGTGCCACTATACAGTGGGTCGGGCTATATCGCAGTTAACTAACCATTCGTGGTGGTCGGCTACCGTCCTCCATGGCTCAGTTGCATGAGCAGCGGGCTAGTTGGCACAAGCCACTAGCAGTCATGGGTTCGATCCTCACTAGAGGACCGAAGGATGCGCACCACTGACGAGCCCCAATAGGGCGAAACGGCCGTCTGGTGCTTTTCCGGATAGCTATTTAACTTATCTGAATTGTCGGCTGATTGCGACGAACAAAAATACTCAACAAAATCCTTCCACTCATAAGTAATACAAATTCGCCCTTACGGATTCCACAACATGCTATGTCGATTCATAGCTGCCGCAACCGGGAAGTCCTGACGCCGGAAGGCCAACCGCTGTCATCTGCATCGCAGGTGCCTGCATGGCAGTGGAGGATGGGTCGGGCTATATCGTATTTAGCTAACAATTCGTGGTGGTCGGCTACCGTCCTCTATGGCTCAGTTGCATGAGCAGCGGGCTAGTTGGCACAAGCCACTAGCAGTCATGGGTTCGATCCTCACTAGAGGACCGAAGGGTGCGCACCGCTGACGAGCCCCAATACGGCGAAACGGCCGTCTGGTGCTTTTCCGGATAGGTAGTTGACTTATCCGAATTGTCAGCTGCCTGCGACGAACAAAAATACTCGCTAAAATCCTTCTACTCATAAGTAATATAAATTCGCCCTTACGGATTCCACAACATGCTATGTCGATTCACAGCTGCCATAAACGGGAAGCCCTGACGCCGGAAGCCCAACCGCTGTTATCTGCATGGCAGGTGCCTGCGTGACAGTGGGGGATGGGTCGGGCTATATCGCAGTTAACTAACAATTCGTGGTGGTCGGCTACCATCCTCCATGGCTCAGTTGTATGAGCAGCGGGCTAGTTGGCACAAGCCACTAGCAGTCATGGGTTCGATCCTCACTAGAGGACCAAAGGGTGCGCACCACTGACGATCCCCAATAGGGCGAAACGGCCGTCTGATGCTTTTCCGGATAGGTAGTTGACTTATCCGAATTGTCAGCTGACTGCGACGAACAAAAATACTCGCTAAAATCCTTCTACTCAAAGTTATATATATATATATATATATATATATATATATATATATATATATACTCAGTGTGGAGCGGACTACGGTCCAGCCACCGCCTTGTGTGTGTGCGCTTGATTCCCCAAATACAGTGTGCTTGTGTTTGCCTGTGAAGGAGTGTGGGCCGGCTCCGTTGATGAAACGTGGTTCCCATCCACATGCCTCCCGGTCTTATTCCTTCGGGTTTACACTGGATATGGGGTGTGTGGTTGGAGCTGTGGGTGGTGCAGCGCAAGCCACCCATGGTCCCTCTGTAGGCGCAGGCGTCCTGTGGCTTGCCACAGTGACAGGCAAATCCGAAACCGGATGCCGCCAACCATATATATATATATATATATATATATATATATATATATATATATATATATATATATAAAGTCTCATCCGCCTGAATCACACCGGGTCTAGTTGTAACGCTTGGAAGCGCTGTGTGTGATAGCTTTGGGAGTCCGGTCCAGTAGACGATAAGTGAACCATCTCTGCATTTTCTCCAGTTACTGGTGATCCCCATTTCTAGCATTGCTGTGGGTCAGTGTAGAATAGTCTAACAGTGGTGGGGCTTTTACAGGGGGGATTTGGGAACGTGCATTGTGGTTGTTTTGAAAGTAGTCAAGTGCTTCGGCGAGCATTAGTAACTACGGTTATCATGTGCTGCCTAAAGTTTAGTGAGCCAGAATAATGAAGACCCAAGTCTTTCACTGTACTGTTGCATCTTATTGGCTTTCCACGCAGAAATAGATTATCGTTGTCTTTCGCAGCCCAGTTGGATACACTTGTTCAGTACCTTTTTGCTTTCTGCTCTTTGTCCCAGGATTCGCCCACATCGGACTTTCAAACGTCTTTCACGACTCAATGGTTCGGACACTAAGGACAACAACAATCTGCTCAAACCGATCCGTCATTTTGACTCAGCCCGCACCATCGCCAATGGCCATAAGGCCACATTGTGTGGTGGCCGATCAAAAGCTCCAATCAAGAATAAGGCGCCCACGCGTCGCGGCCGTCCTCCTGGAAAAAGTAATCAGTTGAACTCGGTCCTACCCACCTCAGGTTTGCACCAAGCCCGTGTTCGACGAAGCTCGGTGGCTAGCTCAAAGGCATCTGAAGAAACTGATGCTTGTTCTCACGATTTAGATGATCTGATGAGAACTCAGAATGATATGGTTGGTTCTTCCGGTGAGGATGCCGCTCCAGTTGCACAGCCTCCATCTGGTCAATATTCGCGGAGTGCAGGCCAGCGTAACCGCCGTTTCTCGACTACTACCACCGATCCCGGCGATGTTGGCGATTTTACCTCAGACACAGGATTATCCAGTCCCTTCTCGGGATCACGTGCTTCTCCCGACCGAAAGATGAATGATGCTAATCTCACTGGCTGCTTCAAACAATCCAACTCATTGGATGGAAATGAGCTTTCTGTAAAAACGCAGCCGTCATCCGATACACCGGATCACCTAACATCAAGCAAATCCAGCAAATCATCGGTAGGTCGATTTTTTCGTCAGTTAACCAAGTCTTCATAGTTTTCTGGCTATTTAACTTCGTCCCATCTTTTACACTCTTCTCATTCACATCGTTCTTGCCTCATCTATTCAGTTTTCCACGAATGTGGAACGTAGTAAACCACGTTCCGACAAAGAATCTCACGCCTCTCCCACTCGCAAACCTCCACCTCAGAAGCAAGAGGATGAGAGAAAGGTTAGTTTTGCATTCTTTTCACAGCGAATGTGCGCACTGCATAGTCATGTTGTGGTACCCGCACAGTTTCTCGAACTTACCTGAGCTGGCCTTTTTACCAGGCTCAGTAATACTGTTTTTGCGTCAATTCAAGCAAACTGTTCAGGTCACAGCTGAGCACTCCTCATTGAATCCGCTGTTACGTGTCAACGCGAACTTAGGCTGCTGTATATATTGTCCCAAACCGCAATGAACACAGCCTTGTTCTCTTAAGGACACTGCCACTGTGTGTCAACTCAAATGCTGTACTGTTTGCCACCTTCCCTACAGTTTATGCCTTACGCTGCTGTTTATGAGTTTTGAGTTTGAAGATGTCCGCTTTTGGTTGGGTCAGGAAACGCGCTCTTGCTACCGACCAATCTTTCTCTCGAATACGGTCGTGCGTGGTTTTGCGGTCCGTCTCCAGTTTCAACTCGCATGTACACACGTCTGGGGACTAGATCTCGTAAGCCGTGACGATCCGAATTCAATCGGCTACTGTGCGCGCGCGCGCGCGCTGTATTATCGGTAAGAAGCGTTCCGTCTATTCCTACTAGGAGAGTTGAAACTACTCGATCGTTTATGCCAAGTAACTTTTTCACTTTCTATGCAACCACCAGCTTAGGTAGAGTTTTTCTTAGAATTTTGGGGTGCTTCCTGACTTGGACTCTTTTGTTGCAATCGCCTCTAACTTTTCTAGCATAAACTTTTTTCATTATATTTTTATAACTAATAGTATTACTCTATGTGAAGATTGTTTAATATTCCCGTTGGAATCAATAAATGGATATCACTAGTCACCGTCGCCTCGATCGTAGTGTCGACGCACAATATGCCTTTGCGTTTTATTTTGCTTTTGTTGTTTTTTCCTTTCTCATTTTCCACCATTTTCTACTTTCAGAGGTAATTGGTCACGGCCTACTCTTAGCCAACAGGCTTTGATAAGTACTCGAAAGTAACAGACAGCACTGCTTCAACCTTCTGGGTCTGGTCAGTGGTGCGCCTTTCATCGGATCCCTGCCGAGTTCCGACCCCATGACTTCTTGATGCCAGCAGCTAGTGTTTTTCCATACTTGCCAAGGCCTGCTGACTGAAAGTGGACCTCTGAATTATCCCAAAAATCCCACTACTCATTAGTAATTTTTTACTTTGAGTTGCGGTGTAACAGATGTGTTGCTCTCTGGTCAGCATTTACAATGTATGAATAGTGATGAGTCGTCATTTTAACTATATTCAATTGCACTTGGAGTCTTGCTTTGTTCCGTCGAACTGAACGAACTGGTTTCTGTTAACGCACGGTCGCGCTTTTCCACATAGCTTGACTGTCGAGACTTAAGCGACATAACGCTGGAACACATTGATTAGTATTGTGATATCACTACTGTCATCGTGCCTATGGCGTGTATCCTCGCCGCCTCTAAATTTCAACTAAATAGCTGATGTGTGCTGATTCTTACCACTTAGTTCCGCGCGACTTTTTAGCTTTAGATGTGTACGATCTAAATGTCAGCAAGGTAACGCGTACTCGATCGACGCCACCACGTCAATTATTGCTGACGCTGGGGTAGTCGGGCGGATACGCAGACTACCTATCACCTGGTTCGTTCACAGAGCGCATTCCAGTACGGGCCGTCCTGCGAAGCATCCGTTACTTCCTTTGCTCCTGTTGCGTATGTCTGCTGAGATGTTGCATTGGCGGTATCTGGTGACTTCGAAACAGTCATGCCTTTTGTTCTTAGTCCTCTTGTGCGATATCAGTCTACCACGCTCAATGGATTGGTGAAATTCATACTATTCTCATGCTATTCTCTTCTCGCTACCTCCAAATGCAACGTTGTCTTCCTTTTTCTCTGAATTGCCTTTCTATTCTTAACAGTTGTTATGATTCCTCCTTCATTTTTTTACAGAAATCGCGTGAGGATTTGTGGATGGCAGAGGTACTTCGTCGTATCGAACGAATGGAGAAAAAACGGCAACAAAAGCAACGCCAATCCTTGTCTGAATGTGGCGTCGTTTCTCCAAATTCTTCGGCTTCCTCCAAGCAAATATATGAATCAAACCCGGTGGAAGGGGCACATTCGAATGACGCTTCGCTTTCAATCTCGGCGCCTAATGTCGAAGATGTTGGTCCCACCAGCATGTTCTCAGGTGAGGCAACTTCGGACGCCAACGTCAATGGGACTCACCACAAGGACTCCAACCATTTCGACGGTGCCGACGTGAAGTCGGATACGGATTCTGTCACAATGCATCCGGCAGAAGTGATTTCTTCCGCTGATGGTACTACTCTTGCTGAGAGTCACGTTGATGACTCGCATTTGAATTTCAAATTTGAGAATACTCCAGATTCCGTCGGACATACCTCACCTACAACGACACAACGAGTGCGATCTACTCCAAAACGGCCGTCTAATTGTTCCCGTAAGAGCGCAACTCTTCATCAGCCTTCCGCCGCGAAATGTAATCGCCGCCGTTCGCAAGCCGCCCTGCTGTCTGACGGACTCAGTGATAGCGTTGGCAGTGACCATCACGATACCAGAGAAGAGCGGTGGCTCAAATCACAGTTGCGGCGCATCGCAGAACTAGAGGTGCGCTCGGCTAACCAACAATTGGCGACTGGTACTTTGACGGAAAGTGGTTCAGCTACCACTGACCATCGATCTCCCACATGTGTTGGTTCTCCCGATGCGACTGCTACTGCTCTCAAGGACGTTTCATTCGACGACGGACACATGGATTCCGGATACTGTAACTCAGGTGATTCGCCCCGCGTTACCAAACAGGGTGTCGACACTTCCAGGCTGCATTCATCTCCAACTGTTGTGACTCGTAGCAAACGTCGTCGTGCACCTGCGGCACCTTCATCACATACCGAACCTGGCGCCACAAGCGTCACATCTGATACGGCACAGGTTAGCGTCGCTGCATCCTCATTAGTAGGATTCAAGTCGGGTGAAAATTGCAACCCTAATCATTCCCCAAATTCAGCCGACGCAGCGGCCGATTGCGAGCTAATCGTTTATCGCCCCCGCGAAATGGACCCAATGGCCAAATTCAGCAGAAGTCGCTCTGTAGAAATGTCTGCGCTGACACCGGTCCACAACTCTCAGGAGGACACGCCACCGTCGTTTTCGGTCGACCTGGATTGCACCACCAATGTCACCGCCTCTGTAGCAACTCCAACTTCTTCACGCACAACGGCGTCGATGCACTCCACACTACGGCCTACAAAGAAACGGTGGTTGAGCCAGGTGAGTTTCACACCTTATTGTTTTAACTAGTATTCATGCGTGCAGTTGATCAATATATGCTTTCCCATACCTCTAATCTCCAGTGTCATCTTCTTATCCACTTCGTGCTTCGGACACTCACCTTGGATCAGGTCTCTGTGCCACTGCTTCTTAGTCCCTGTCCTTGAATGGGGGTTTCCGGCTCTATGGCAGTATCCCAGCCACCTCGCAGTGTAGCTGACACCCTTTTTATTCTTTTGTTGGAGCAGCTACCTTGTTTGGACTAAACTAATTGGAATGGCTTGTCAATTGAATGCCTGGATATCTTTCAAGCCTCCGAGCTACTCGGAATCAGGATCCGCATTCATTGCCCTGTCTATGTTACTCTTTATATGACTCATCTGAGCCGCTGGAACGCTTTTTTCCATATACGTTATCTGTACGCATGCACGCGCCAACAGGTTTGGATAACTGGCTTTATCTCCGCCGGTGTCAAACTGCCATCTACTTGGAGAAGAACACCCTGGTGCAAACTCAACCGTCGCTACGTTCGATGGGCTCGTGTGCCCGATTAGCATACTTGCAAGCAATCCATCCTTTGGTTTTTCAGGCGTACTTGAGCCATCAAGCATTCTTTCAGCTATCGTTAACCATAGTTCAGTAGGCTTCATCTAGTGTACAGCCGTTTCTTTGCGTGCTATTCAAACAGACCATATACTATTTCTCGCACCTACCTGCAATCCGCCACAATGGTTAACGTTCGACAAACTTGCCCCCACTTGTTGCTATATTTGACTTTGAAAAGTGTGCCTGAAGACTATCCCAAAGTGGCTTGTTACATTCGACCATCGCTGCCTTCGCAACTTAGCTCATGTCTGGTGGGAACACCGCGTGAACGATAATCGTCTTCGGCGTCGTTTATTTGCTGCAGTGAAAACGAGTGAACCACTCAGCTCCATTGCATCACACACCAGTCTCCGATGGATGGGCCACGTGTTGCGCATTCCAACCCACCGATTCCCGCGACATGCGTTGTTTGTGCGCCGGGAGTGTGGATGGAACAAGAGGAGGGGAGGCCAAGGGAGGGGGGGAATGAAGCCCCTCACTTTGAACTTGGCATTACTTGGTGTCTGCCGGGCTGGGGTCCGAAGGACAATGAACACGTTTGGTTGGATACGCTACAATTTCCCAGGCAATATAGTCCATGGCGCAATCAAGTTAGACCGCAGACATTTCCAATTCCTCTGTTACTCCTACAAGTTCATCCGTCCATGCGTCGGCTGTAGCTACCGCGCACACCGTCGCGTAGCTGCCTCATCAGTCAGGCGCCGTCAGCTAATAGGATTTCGGGTGTAAGTATAGGGCCAAATGTTGGCACGCATGGAGCAAAGAGGTCTCGGCCGCATATGCCCGAGAGCAATTTTCACCATGGCAATGACGGATTGTATGACAAGAATGAGAATTGTGACGCATTAGGCCACCAATTGCGTGGTGGGAGAAAGTTGGGTCCATGTAAGGCAACAGTTTGGAGTAGGCCTCCCTGTACCCCTTTAACGGAGTCTGTCAGCGTAAAAAGCTGCTATTTGTTCGCATTCTATCACGGTCGGTTGTCTGTGTCCCTGCACTGAAATTGTAGGCGCTTGTACGTGCAAGTGATTGTGTGCGATGGACACCTTATGCGCGCGGGCCAACATGCCCAAAACGCATGACGCGTTGAGTCTAGATGTTACAGTTACATGACACATTGTCTGTGGATATAAATATGCAAAATCCTCCTCCAAAATGAACAAAGAACCACCCTTACCCTGACTCTTGATACTGATCAGTTTAACCTGATTCAGAAACTCAAGTGTCTAGGCAGCTATATTAGCGCCTACGTAAGAGATTAGGTCACGAACAGTGTTTCAAATGATCTATGCGCTTTTGCTAAGCACTGACACTTGTGTCGCCGGTTCAACATCACTCCCGCCCTGGAAGGCTGAGCTTGCGATGCAGCCGTCCGTTCAACTCTTATACGGCTGTAAAACCTGACCTGTCAGCTCCACAAACCTAAAGCGGCTCGTTACATTCGATCATCGCTGCCTTCGTAGCTTAGTTCATGTTTGGTGGGAGCACTGGGTGAGTAATGAGCGTGTTCGGCGTCGTGTATTTGGTGCAGGGAGAGCGAATGAACCACTCAGCACCGTTATATCACGCACCAGGCTCCGATGGTTGGGTCACGTGTTGTGCATGCCAGCACACCTACTCCCGCAACGTGCACCGTTTGCGCGACCGGAGTTTAGCTGGAAGAGGAAGAGGGGTGGCTAAGCGAGGGAGAATGAAACCCTCACTTCGAAGTTGGCGTCGGTTGGTGTATACCGACTGCCAGGCTGCGGTCTGAAGGACCTTAAACGCGTTTGGCTGAAAACACATTGGCATGGCGCAGAGCCGACCTGAGTGGCGTTTGTGTTGTGTTTCTTCATCCATTCTTTTCCGAATGGCTTGCCGAACTACCTCCTCGTGCTGCCAGCTGGGTGGATCGGAATCATCCCGTTCTAACGAAAGATTTGGTGGCAGTGTTCCAGGACTTGGTGGGTTTTCGCCTGGCAAGCGTTCTCTCTATAAAAAGCCACATATGTTCGCTTAACAACACTGCTACGTGGCGGACGTGACTCGCCACTAAATAAAGTCACTGCCCCTTGCTTCACTTCGCTGGAGCATTGTAATCATTCAGATTGACGCTGAATTACTGAGAGTATTGGACCCATGTTTGACAACCAGTTAAACGAAGGCGTATGAACCGAGAAATCCATCACCGGCTTCCAATGGGCGCGACTCCTTGAATTCGTCCCGCTGCCTTGCGGGTCAGGTCCCTATGACCAAAGGCTCCGGTGGGGCCCCCTAAGTCAACCGCTTTCTCGGCCTGGGCAACCTGGAAGCTGTATGCCCGCACACCACATGAAATGATGGGTTTCCTACTCTGCTCACGTCTCTCGCTCTCTGAACTCTCACTCTTTGGTCGGGGTGCTGGCGGCCGGACATGCTATACCTCACTCTACCGCACCGCAAACCACGTTCTTCGTTCCACGTTTATTCAACCCTCCTGTTCTTGGCAACCCCCCTTCAATTTCGAGTATCCAAAAGTGAATTGCAAATAAAAACGTTACTTTGTGTCTAATAAATGAACCGCTGAAAATCGATCGCACACATTCCAATACCAACAGCAAGGCTTTTATTGCACCCCGCTCGCTCTTCAAGCTAGCTACGTTCAAAGTTCGGTTGCTCATGCAGATTGGTTCACAAGCTCTTCTTGCGCGAACCTTGGAAATCCTCTCAATCGATGTTTACTGCCTAACCGAAACACGTTTACAAGACTCCAGCACAAGGCTGTGATTGCTCTCACCCTCCCAAAGTTCCACTTGCACATTCACCTTGAGTTTATCTGGAGATGCGACAGCGGCGGCCTCTGGTTGTGCCGGCGTAGGGGTTGAGTTAAGCGCGCGTGTTGAGGCAGCGCTCATTGACTGGTTCCCGGTCAACAGTCGCCTTTGTGCAGTCCGCTTGATAATCTCGGTTCGATCTTCCAGCCACGGGATCAGTAGGCGCTGCTTATTCATTGTGGCGGCGTAGGCTCCAACTGACTGCAGCCCGGACGAAGCTAAAGACGAGTTCTACCGCCAACTCACCGACCTCCTCCGCAAGAAACGCCACACGGACATCGTGATACTCGCCTTTGACCTAAGTGCACAGGTCCGTAGACTAGAGGTTCATGAGCGCGAACTTGGGGGTCAACACAGCTACGATACTCGCAGGACGGACAACGATGATCGACTGCTTCAACTATGCGCCTACCATGGCTTGTTTCCTTCAGCACCAATTTCCGACGTTCCTGGCGCCAACGAGCCACCTGGCGACCTCCGGCGCCTGATCAGTCTTGGACGCAAATTGACCACATCGCTGTTAGTTACTGTTGGCGAGGCTGCATAACGGACTGCAAGCCAATATGGAACACTTACCTGACTTCGGACCATGCGCTCGTGGGTGCTAAGTTCCATCTGCGCTTTGGAGGCACCCAACAGCTTCGCTGGAAACGGTTTGACACAGGCAAGATCTCCGCTCCAAATGTTCTCGGCGCATTTCAGAACACATTAGCCTCAAACCTACGTTCTCTATCATCCGATGTTGAGACACATTGGGTACCGATCCAGAGTGCTTTACAAAAGCCCGCTACCCTGGTCTGTGGCTTCACTAGACGAGCTATTAATCATTGAATCTCCGCACAGTCTCTCCAATTAATGGAAAATTGTCGAACAATATCCGCCGAAATTGAGTACAATGCACTACGCAGACCCACAAGTGCTGAGCTCAGACAGCTCCTCAGGAAGGATCGCGAGGTTTGGGGAACACAGCGCATCGTCAAGATGAAGCGGGCAGCCTCATCAGAAAAATCCCGCAAACTTACAACTTATTCGCTCCACGGGAGGTAGAAGACCAACAGTGAGTGAGGTTTTGCGTGAAAATGATGTTGAACTAATTCACAGTCGTCACCGTCGTCTGGTACGATGGGCAGAGCACTTTGAAGATCAATTCAACTGGCCAGCAGCGCAACCGAGTTTACCCTCCGGGGGTTCACAGTGCTCCCTGGTGCGTGGATGTTTCTCCACCGACAGAGGCTGACGTTTCCAATGAGCTTCGCCTACTAAAGCGCCACACGTCACCTGGCCCAGATGAACGTCCTCCTGCCCAGTTCAAATATGGAGTCCTGCTCCCACTCATGAATTGATATCACTATTCCATCAGGCCGGGACTACTGAAACCATTCCATCCGACTGGAACACAGTGGATGTTTTACCTGTTTACAAAAAAAGAGACCGGTCCATTTGCTCCAACCATCGTGGCATCAGTCTCATTTGTGTCGCATCCAAACTGCTCGCTGTCCTACTCTTACGGAGGCTCAGTTGCGTACGGGAACAGCACCTACGTGAACAAGCTGGATTTCGCCCGGGTTGCGGTTGCATCGATCACATCGTTACGATCCGCCA